AAAAAAAAAAAAAAGAAAAAAAAAAGAAGAAAAATTTACGACGCCTGTCAACTAAACAAAAGCTTTTCATTTCTATTTTGTCAACAGCCTAAAAAGAAGAGGAGAACTTCCCCCATATTGTCATTATCCAAAAAGCACACCCCCTGCCCCCGCCCCACAATTCTTCAGAGAATATACGACAAGCCTAATAATACCCTTTTCTTTTCTTATTATTATTATTATTATTATTATTTTTTCTTTTCCGTTTAACAATTTTTATAATTGCAATGACGATATAATTTTCTTATTTTTTTTTTTTTTTTTTCATTTTTGATTAACCATTTTCACGACGCCATAGCACGCAATTATTTTCTTCATTTATTTATTTATTTAATTATTTATTTATTATTATTATTATTATTATTATTATTGGTATTAGTATTAGTATTAATTAAATATTCGCACCGACGATTCTATAATATTTCTTTTGTTGTTTCCTTGAAAAAAAAAGAAAAAAGAAAAAAACTATTAAAATAATAAATTCAGTTGGTTTTATCCTGTCATTATAAAAACGCAATCGTTCGGACGACAGTCATCATCATCATCATCATCATCATCATCATCATCATAAATCGCGATTTTTCATGTGTCGGTCGTATTACGATAAAAAAGAAAAAAAAAACAAGAAAAAAGCAAAAAAAAAAAGAAAGAAAGAAAATAAATAAATAAATAAATAATAATAATCTCACCGCTTTCTCTTAAACTTTAATTGAAAGTTCATGAGAATATTATTATGAATTATTATTATTATTAAACGTGTCTCTCGTCGCTGATATAAATTGTCATAATTATTGTCATAATTAATTAACCATAGTCAAGTTGAGATAAGAATTAATAATGTTCGCGAGGTAATGAAACAAAAACCACACAAAAAAAAAATAATATAATAAGAACAGAGTGTGTAAGAGAGAGAGAGATAGAGGGAGAAAGAAAAAAAAAACAAAAGCAAACGTTTAAAAAAAAAGAAGAAAGGAAATAAAACAAAGCTAACAAACTGGGTATGTAAAGAAAGAAAAATAAAGATAAAAAAAATTGAGAGAATGGGAGGGATGGAAACGTTGGTGGATTTAATTGGTTAAAAGAAAAGTTTTCCATTGCTATGAGAGAAAAGGGTGCGATAGAAAGGGTTAAAAAGACCTTAGAGTATTATTCACGTAAGATCGAAGAGAATGAGAATGAAAAACAAAAAAAAGAAATAAGTAATAATTTAAACAAACAATGATAAACGAAGAAGAAGAAAAAAAAGAAAGAAAAAAAAAGATAGAAAAAAAAAAACCATAAAAACATTTAACAAACAAAGAAAGCAAAGTAAAAAGCCAAGATATTCGACTAAATGTCTTGTATGTCCTGTCCGTTTGTCTGTCGTCTGTCTGTCTGTTCTTCAAATCTAATTAATCTTGTCTCTTCTCGATTCTCTCCGTGTTGTAAAACGTCGTTTTAAATAATTAAAAAGAAAAAAAGAAGAAAAAAAAGAGAAAAAGAAAAAAATGAGGAAGAAGAAGAAAAGAGAAAAAAGTATAAAAAGAAGAAAAAA